CTACCAAGCCGTGTTCTGGAATGCGTAGTCTAACTACATCACCAACAATAAACGACAAGAACTACTCTTCCACCTCTCCTTAGCATTTTTGTCTAATGCATTCTACATTGCGATCGATATTTTGTTGCGAATTGCGTCAGGGATCGCTGATTCGTTTTCATTATCGTTAAGACGAATAAACAGCTACTATTTTTTAATCCTTCATGCGTTTAGAATAACTACTTATTAAAAAAAGCATCATCGCTGGTGCAATCCAGTTATGTGATAAATCAACCCGATTTTTTTAGTACTGAACTTTAATTGTTTTCCCATAAAAAAGTGCTAGAATATACAATAAGCATGTTCTCCTAGTGTACAAACAAACGATATCTGTCCAACAGTTGTGCATAAATTATGTGACAACATCGAAATGAATATCACTCTGAGCTTATTTCGATTTGGGTCAGAACAACAACAACAACAATAACAACAACAACAACAATAATAATAATAATATAGATTTCATTATTTGTTTTTATACGTAATTACGAGCAAGTGTATTTTTAGCATTCAATTGTAGTAAAGGAACGCAAACATCCATGCGTCATTCCAATTAATTATGAAGTTACTAATATAACGCGGTTATAACAGTCTTCTAACTAGGATCGTCTTGATAGCCGCTTCGCCGCTTTATGTTCCCGAATATTGGAACGCTTTTTAAAATATAAAGCCAGCCGTCTGATAAATTAAAGTTTTCAACATTTACCAGAGCGGCAAAAAGCTTGGCAAACAAGGCTACATTAGCATGTGACTTGGGAACTTGCTCTAACAATTACAGGATGCGCAGCGTTTTTCGAGTAAAATCACAGTATCTTTTTAGATTGTAAGAAATAACCTGTTGACTGAAGATACAGTGTGTAACAAAAAAACTTCTCGCGTAATGTAAACAGTTCTAACTCACCCAATTTGGATCCAAATTGCGTCGAAAATAATTCAAAACAAACGCAAAGTTTTGTTTTATATATAATAAAGATTTATTTTGGTATTATTATGTAGCTTTTTCATAATTTACCCCAAACATACCAGCAAAATTGCCAAATTGTTTCTCAGCAATAATGTACCCAACTTAATGGACTGGCCATCTAACAGTCCATATCTAAATCCAATTGAAAATTTCTGGAACATTGTCAAGACAAACGTAGAAAAAAGACTCGTGGTGATTTGGTGCAATTTATGGAGAAAGAATGGGAGAAAATTCCCGATATGGTTCTAATTAATTTAGTTAACTCAATGAAAATACGTTGTGAGCTTATTATTGAAAAACAGGGTGAAAGGATACTATATAATTAAAAAAATCCAGAAGTCTTAGCATTTCAAATGAGCTACTCCACGTTTATTTTCATTCACCGGTTGTTCTTCTGCATCACGTTTTATTTTTACACACTGTATTTCGGTTAGAAGACGAGTGATTAGACAAGTAAGTACTATATGGTTTAACGTGGTAACTTCAAGGTGAAAATCCTTTTTATTTTTTGTTAGTGTTGTTGAATTTTTATTTAGCATCAGCAAATATGAAGATTTGTAAGAATAACAAAGAGTGTTTTAACGAGCTCAGCTTGAGATAAACTTTCGATTATCATTTATATGATTTTAATTGTCGAAAAGGTGTTATCGAGATTCAGGATATGACGATAATATAACCAATTACAGTTACACATATAATCATATACTTTATATACAAAAAAACTTCCCCCGGAAAATTGTAATTTGGTTTGTTTTCGACAGGCCAGATTTTATGTCGAATCAATCTTACAGCAACATTTCTCAGAAATTAACCAAATGCTTGGGGTAAGTGAATGGAGGTTTCAGCAAAACAATGTCCCCAAGCATACTAGTCGTCTTCTAAAGCCTTTCTTGACGAGAATGCTGACTGGTCATCCGATAGTCCTCACTTAAACTCTTATGTGAAAGGTAATGTAGAGAAACAAATGCCTAGAAATATCAGCAAACTGGACAATTATGATGGAGGAGTGAGGAGTATTCCAGATGCCGTTGTAATAAATCTCATGAGCTCAAAGAGACGTCGTTGTGAACTTATAGAAAAATATGGTCATATTAATTGCTATTAATAGATTCAGCTTTCAAATAAGTTATAAATCATGTGATTTGATTACATTGCAGGAAACAAAAACTTACTCTGGGGGTTTTTTTTCTGACACACTAATAATTTAATAATACCCCAGCGAGCTACTGTGTAAAAATTTGTTTGATTTCATCCAACTATTTGTGGCTGCTATCGTACAACTGATCAAAACCCATATTTTCACCACTTCCGAATATTGGTTTGAAGAAATGATCGTGGGCGAAATGAGAACTTTTAGCAAAATAAACCCAAAACCATGCTAACGGACGTGGTATTCTACGATTGTGCTTAGTAGTCTGTTTCATAATCAAGAATAATGCATAAATTGGGAGGAAGCTAATCAAATACAGAACTCGAGCGAACTTTCGTCTAACAGTATCTGGTTGATATGGCTGGAGGGAGAAGAGATAGTTCTGATAGGTAGGCTCGAATCCAAATTCCTTTGCACCTTCTCGCATTAAATTCAAATATCTAGCATAGAAGTATCCAGTCAGAATAATGCTATTACTATGTCACGATAATACTATTAGTAAATAGATTCCATTACCTTTCACTAGCCTGACATCCTATTTTTACGGAAGCGGGTTTGGCGATCAGTGTTTTGGCGAGAATTTTTTCAGCATCATAAGTTCTGCATTCTACATCAACCACAGAATATCCAGTTGGAAAATCGTCGTACCCCCATCCACCTTCAGTCATCAATATTCGTTTGAACTGATCTTTTGTGATTAAATATGCAACTCCATGAAGAGTAGGGGGCAGCGATTCTTCGGGGTTAGCCGGATTCCATTTAAATGGAGTTCCTGCTTTGCATCGTAAATGTATTTCTCTTGCATACTCTTCGGTAATATTCTGACGGGCTTTTCTTACAATACTTGCGAAACATGGCTCAACATAAGGTGAACCCATCATATCAAGGCTTAACCAATATTCAGGGACAGTAACCACTTTGTACTGAAGTGGAACTATTTTACGGACACCTTGAAAGACCTTTTTGTTCATATTGCTGCCGTATGCTGCGGATAGTATTTGCAGATTTAGTTAGTCGGGAGCGTTGAGGTACAATTCTATGGGATTACGATATGTACCTAAATACCACAGATGATTATCATCGATCGCTTCATTGACACTTGCTACTGTATGGACGTCTTTTACCATTTTGTACGTAAAATGTCTGTGAATTGAAAATTTTATGTTGCCGTTGAGATCGCGGTACAGTTTTTATATTTGAAAAATTTCAGGTTATTGGACTATTTATAGGCGCAGAGGATAGATAAATTTACCCGAGGGCACTATTTAGGTTACTTGTGTGACCGACTCCGTGTTTTTCGGTAATAGAGTTATCACTGTTGCCGAAAACCAATATTGTTTCCCGGAATTACGATTTCCGACTTGGTGCGTCTTCGGTTTATGTCAGCCCGGAATCGACGTAACATTCCGGCGAACTTTTTATGGCTTAAGTAATTAAGAGTATTGTGGACGGTCGGCACAGCCAATCAAACAAACCGTTGTTTTATGACATGAATGGGACCATATTTATCCAACACCAATTCACATGTCGATTCTTCGTTCATCCTCTTACTAGACTCTTTTCAGGATTATCAATAACGCAGACGTCCTCCCAGAAGAACGAGAGGCAAATTTGCGGCCAAAGAGGAATCATTATTCGTTTTGTTTGGGTAAGAACTCTTACGAAGAGCAAGCTTTATACAATTCTAACGTGATTATTACTCGGATTGGTTTAATTGTCTCAGCATTCAGCAGACGTAAATATACTAACCGACGATCGATAATTAATGGATTTCGTTTTATTGACCACGAAGATTACACAAGTAGGGGCTCTTCATCGCTCAAGAAATTGTTTAAAGTTCAAATAGTAATACCAGACGTTGCGCAAGCTTTGCAATGGTACGATATCCATAGTAATACAAACATAGTATGAAAATCCGTATATGAGGGTTTTTTCGCAGATCACTTGCCGATCATTTTACAATAGCAAAAGACGCATAACTTTATAGCACTTCAAAGCCTCAAGGACATGCGTTACGGCCTCGAAACTTAGGCGGTAGATACTTTCACACTTGCGCTACCAGAAAATGAAGCCATTTTTTTATTTTTATTGACGTTATTGTCAGTTTGTATATATAAAACCTTTTTGTAGGAACGTTTCTCCAATTATTTTATATCAAAGGGGGGGAAAAGCTTCATTTTCTGGTAGACCAAGCGTGAAATTATCTACTATCTAAGTTTTAAGGCCATAACCACTGTCCTTGATATTGAGGCTTTGAAGTGCTATAAAGTTATGCGTCTTTTGCTATTGTGGTAAGTGATCGGCAAAAAAAACCTCATATATGTGACTTTCCCTATGTTTGTATTACTATGGATATCGTACCCCCCAGTAAATCATGTACAAATTTACTGTCTTTCTGTTAATATTAACAGCTTTGGGATGTTTAAAACTCCTGTATTACGTATTTAAAAAAAATAAAATAACACCGACAACTTCTTTACATTAGACGAGACTGAAAATATTTCGCGTGTTATAAATTCTCACACCAATCCGATAGAGCAAAGATCTTATCTGTCAAACTTGCCAATCAAATGGTTTTCTTCATTTGCCCCTGGCGATCGAGTTATCGAAGGAACACAAGATATTGTTGATAGTCTAACTGTTAGTATAACTGATATAGGCATTTTAGTATTACTCAGTAACAACATTTTGTTTCACAAAATACCTTACAGGTTAAGGTAATGAGAACAATCACAATTATTGTGTTTATTATGGAAATCCCCACATCCGTCATTGTGTAGAGCGCCATTTACGTCATGGTTATAGGGAATATATATATATATATTCATAGCATTTTGACCTTTCATTATTATATGCCGCAGGATGGGTCAGATAATACCTTCCGCTGTAAAAGATAAAGTGAACGGAAGCAATGCTAATAGAGTCTCAACAGTTAAATGTCATGTAAAGCAGCATCGTTATCCACAACCAAATGCACACGTCAGAACTTTGTTACAGAATCTTAAACACATTGAGCAATATTCTTTACGAACAACATTCGATAACATTGCCGACGATAACGATGGAGTAATAAAAGAAGATGCTTTCGTGGTGAGTCCTGTCATTTTCGGATAAATATCATTTATGTGTTAACAACCAATGCAATTGTTGACTGGTTGACGTTTGGCTGCGCTGATTTCTTCTGCTTGAAGAACTATCTCGGCCTCCCAGATAAGATAGGCATAGGCCCTCTTCTGTATAAATCATTCAAATATTTAGCTACATATCCCGATCTCCGACACGACGATGAATCCTCTCTTACATTCGATGGCCTAACAATAGCAATCGCTATCTATTGTGACAAAGCAACGAAAAAAATTCAAGAAGACAAACTAAAGCTACTCTTCGATTCATTCGCAACAATACCGGAACCATTAGTATCCAATGAGACTGTCAAAGATCCTTCATCTCATTCGACGCTAATATCTGATATGAGTGACCTCTCTTCACTAAAACTCAAATTCGATGATGCCGAAATTTTGAAAATACTTGGTATTGAACAAGAAGGAGAAAGCGCTGCAGGGATCGACAGCGTCTCCAGGATATACTGCAAGGATATGTTAAGTATTCTCACAGGGCTTACATGGATTATGTCCACTCAAACGATACTGGCATTGGACGAGAATACAGACACTAGAACGAACTTATTCAACCACTTGTCTCCCGAGAATATTGCTCATATATATGATCAGATCTCACTGATTGTGCAACAAATGGAAAGATATGATTCGCGTCAACGATCACTGTCAAACATCGATCTTTCCAATCAAGTGATAACATGGCCAACATTCAAGAAATTTGTTCATCGCAATGTACCCAATATATTCAATGGCTTTCGAGCATTTTTCACTTCTCAATTTCTTATTGGGCAGACGCTTTCTCAACCACGATCAGACTCGCCATTCGTCGGCCCAAATTCCTCGTATTGGGCTACTCTGGACAAGCCATCTGACATACTGTCGGACCCGACGAAAATGGCGATACTATCGTGGATGTTGCCCGGGAAATCAGTTACGCGACGTCAGTGGCAGAAGTTGTATTCGGGCAGAGAACACGGATTTAGTATGAACAGATTCGAGACGCGTGTATTTAAGTATCCAGGACCGACATTAATTCTGATAAATGCTGAGGTATTGTCTTCAAAATCACTTACTCAACAGAATGGTAACGGTGAATACTGTTCATCAAAAGAGAACGTCTCCATGTCGCATCCACAGACCCTGATTTTAGGGGCATATATTGCTGAGCCATGGAAATCAACTAGTTCTTTAACAAAGTGCTTTGGGTCAGAGGACTGCTTTTTATTTGAACTCTATCCAACCTTTGAGGTATTTCCTTCCTCAAAGCGGAATACTAATTATGTGTATTATAACTCATCCATTGGACTCGGCTTTGGAGGTTTACCGACTTCCGGAAAGACATCTAACAAGCTAGAAAATCAAGAGTGCAATTCGTTCTTTTTGCAATTGGATTATAGCCTTCAATTTGGTCGATATCGTAATGATCCGCTTAGAGAGATAGCTCCCACATACATGCTCTCCGAAACTAGGAATCATTTTGATACACCATTTGAAGTGATAGAGATTGAGGTATTTGGACTGGGTGGAGACATGGCTAAGCAGAAGCAGGAGAGCGAGTGGTTATGGGAAGAGAAAGATGTTAAAAAGAGAAGGTCTCTAAAGAGCAACTCAGGAAAGGTTGATAACGAATTGTTGAAGATGGTACGTTGTCTTATTTACTGTGAATATTGTTGTATACTTCAGACTGAGCAATTGTAATTTGTTTCCTATTTGTAGGCGGGTGTCATTAATGAAGATCTTCGGAGAGAAGTAAGACTGTGAATGACTTAGGTGTTTATAATTCACAAGAGAACAATTACTGTTAAATACGCATCTGTAAATCCGCAAATATTTAATATTAGTAATAGATTAATTGTAAACATTCAAATTGTGAATATGGTATGTAGAGTACATCACCTCATCAAACATAAATACGATCGAAACAATTATATCGTAACAATTAAATATCAAAGTCGCAAACCAAGATTGTTAAAGCAGACTTAACACTACCTTGAAAAATTCTCACAAAGTCGAGAATAAATTTCAACTCTATTTTTTGGATTTAATGTTCGGATCTACAAACCATACTACGTCTCAGACCCCACTTACGCCCTTCCCTCTTCTAATCTATTGTCTGTTCTATTCGATTTCTGTTCCCCCAAACCTTCAATCCATCGTCCCCATAGTATCTCTGATCTATTTTCCTTTTCATAATTTCAAATACCAAAAATCCCACACTCGTAGCTGGCACAGCCCTCAAAACTGTTCCCCCAAATTCACCATATAAAAACTTACGCCAACCTACACGCGAGGCCATAATTTTACATTGTTCAAAAGTGAGTTTGTAAAGTTTCGGACGTTGCAAATGTTGAAATTCTGCTTGAGCTTCTTCGATTAAGAAAACATTACGGATTTTATCGAGAGGGTGATCTACGATATGATATGAAATAGCAGCAAGGCCACCGGCAATTAGAACGAAGGTTGGTTCGAGCAATGGCGACGGAGTTGATTGTGGGAAAGAAGAGGGAAAGGATAGAGAAGAGGTTGAAGACGGAGAAAGTGGATAGAAGGAAGATATAAAGGTGCGATAACATTGTTCCTTTACAAACTCAAAGACACCGAAAAATAGACCGCATGACAGTGAATCCTGAAAAGATAATAGAAAAGTGGCATTCCAGATATTAATACAATTTTCCCATTTTTCAAGCGAGTCTCCTCTCCCTTACCTTAGCCAAAGTCAGTCCGAACCCACGATAAATACTTGCCCATCCCAATTCTTTCCACGTAGTTCTCGCGTAGTCTATCATGCTTTTATGCTTTCCTGTTAAGAGATCATTCACTTCAAAACGCACCTTCAGCGAATCCATCGGTGTTGCAACGAATGATTGTGCTGCTCCAGCTAATGCCCCCGATAGAAATACGGCAGAAAAGGGTGGAGGTATGGCTTGTTGAGTATTGTATGATAAGGAAGCATGGAAGCGTGGTAAGACTGAGACATAGACTGTATATAATACGCCACCGATTAGGGAATTTGCTATTAGTGGCGGAAGAATGTGTCGAGGGATAAAGGTGAAGCTAGAGATGGGAAAAGGAGAACAGATAATAGGATATAGCGTTTGCGTATAGTTGTATATAAAATCATCAATGATTCGCGTTATTGTATATGAATGTTCATACGCTTTCGCTTACCCATAATGTTTGACTGCATGTGATATCATACCAAGACTTGTTGATTGAAAAGAAAATCTGCTATTTGTCGGAGGTGGTAGAATAGCCCTAGCCATAAGCAAATAGTCGACTCTAAGTGGTCTGAAAAGCTTTCATACATCAATAAAGTATATTTGTTACTACTTTTCTAAGTCTTTTCATTCGCAGCCTTCCTATATAATACCTTTATCGGTGTCCTATACCACAATGCTAGGCTCTGCAACACTAAAGAGCGAGCTATTGCAGCCGGTGCTCCTATGCTGGCAGGATTCGGTTTATTCTCTGCTGTAACATCTTGGAATATAGACGCTGGAGGATCCATACATTGAGTAATCGAGAATCGCCAGAAGATATGGTACCAGATAGGGAAAAAAAGTTCATTTATTAGCTGATAGATTACGGCAGATCACTGATAGCGATATGAGTTTAACACTGACAATGCTGTTGTGACCAATATTAATGACACAGTATCCTAAAAACGCAAAAGTCTTTTTTCACATAACAACAATACGCGTACATTTTATAACCCAAATCGCAATCTGAGAAATTGGCACACCGTCTAAATATCACACCAATAAGCGACACCTAATCAACATTGTTTACGTGATGTTATCGCGATTTTGGTTTTTACTGCCCACGGACCATGCGTTCAAGTTCTTTTTACATAACTCTTAGAATTAGTAGATAATTCACGCCATAAAGGATGGTAAAGCAGATAGTTACCTTTTACATCTCATACCTCAACGCTGACATCGATAATAATAAGTCGGTTTGGCTCAGCCATATATTTTTCATAAGTCGGCCAATATATTAATGTTTGCCGACAACAACTTAGACTGGGCTTTAGCGAACATCTCGCTGTGAATAAAAGTTTCTCGCGATCTACTGTTTGCCGACCTATCGAGACTGACTGTGTACATAGCAGATAGAATACAGGTTAAATAGTAATGGTAATCGTTTATGAGTAAAGGGCACAGTTAAAAATCACGATCGTGTGCGACTGTTTTGTTACTCTTACTCCCCGTTTAGTTGGAACACTTTTCTTACTATCAATACGAACGAGTTCGCATATTAGAAACACTACAGTCTCGAAAGAGTGCTTCCCTATAAACAACGAAACAGTCGAGGAGCTAATATTCAGTGTCGTATATCATTGCTCTCCCAGATATATACAGTATTTTGTTCTTCCGAGTTAAGATCGAATTGAAACACATCTTGCAATCGATAAGAATCGCTTCAATAATAGTGTTAAACTCTTGGTGTCATATAGCTTAGATAGTAGCTGATTTCCGGTATGCGACCTTTCATACTGTAAATTCATTTTTTTATGTAAAGGCCTAAGCGTGAGTGACTCAAAAGTATCGGCAACTCTCACAACTTTCAGGATTCGTTCTCTATTTCGACTATGGAATTGTAAATTTCACTTTAATGAGTATCTTTAAACTTGTGCTTTTACATGAAGGACTTTCTGTATCCAATCTCGATCATGCTGATCCCATAATTAATATATGAGGATAAATAATTAAATTGATTAGTGCGACAACCATAACACCAAACTAAAACAACCTATGATGAATGTGATGATCTGTTAAACTCATCCTCTTATCGTGCGGCAAGAGGGATGATGATGATAGCAGTCATACCAATTTAACCACCAATAACCGACTGCTTATTGCTTATCTGAGGTTGTTGATGGAAAGGTGTGAAACGGCAGTAACAGCCAAAAATTAGATGAAAAAAAGAACAATAAAAAGTGGAACAAAAAGACAGTAGTTAAAAATCCTTAGTATGGCAAGATGTGATTGTCATAGTCACTCGTTCCCAAGTGCTGCAGGCTTGATACGCCACAAGTAGTTCGGGCAGCTTGCTGACTATATAGATCACCACATCGAGGGCAAACCTGGCTGTTTACTTCACTCCGCACCTGCTGATAACCCGGATGGTGGGTTTGTAAATAGTGTAAGAAGCGTCATAAATCAAAGGCATCCGTCTATACTTTTAGCACATCCGCTATATCTAACGTCTGATAGTAACAAATAAATGTCTAGTAAGAACCGTAATGCTGCGCTTGACAAATTACATAATTGAAAACACATTAGCAGTTACGACTATGGATTGATATTTGACGTAGGATAATTAAGCGTATATATACACGATGACGCTCGATAATGATTCCCTGATAAAATGGTTTTATTCGGAACGAAGTTAGAAGTTCGTAAAACGGATACTCGGAAAACCGATAATTCGCAAAATCGATACTTTTTCAAATTTTAATCGTAAAACCGATAACACATATGAGATATAGATCTCGCAAAACAATGCATGTACCGATCATACTCCTAATTCGAAAACCGATCGATTTTCCGAGTAGAAACAAAATCATAATCCCGAAGTCGACCGATACTTTTTTCTGATTGCTTTATCTTTAATTCATCCGACGATATGTATAACCCCTAACATTCGTTGGATTGATAAGAATGAACTATTGCTAGAGATTATATGCAGTTGACTCTGAATATATCAGCAAAAGTGGTTGGCCGGATCCGGTATACGTTGAAAGACGACATAACGGACTTTGGGTGCCAGTACTTTCGACCGTTATGTTGACGAGCCCGTTATATTAAATTGTAATTTATATCGGATTCTTACGTTATAACGGCGGTCTTTTATTATTTAGTATTATGTGTGACCGAAAATCTACTACTTTGAGACGCAAATGTCTCCCAATGCTTTTCACAACGATAGAAATTTTCTTTTTTAATTTCTCAAATTCAAACAAAGCAAGAAGATCGAATCTGTTGGGCTTGAGAACACGTCATATTATAAAAAGCCATTCCAAGATATTGAGAGCGAACTATTTAATTTGCTCCAAATATAGTGAAAAATATATTCATTAAAATATTAATATAGGGAGTAAAGTGTAGACAATATTAAAGCTAATATAAACTTTGATTATACATAGTGCTCCTCCCCCACGGAGTAGCGGATTATACTATGCAATATAAACGTAACATAATTGTATTTTGCGCGTCAATTAAACTTGTTGGCAGTGTTGTTTTACAACTATTTGATACCTTTATAGATAGTTTTTATTTTCCTTTACTAAAAAAAATTGACAAAGTCAGCGAAAGAGTTTTGATTTTATCCTGGAACTTTAATTGACAAAGCGCAAAATCCACATTGTAACCGGAAAAGTTTATTTAAAAATTGCATTCAGAATAAGAATAATTAAAATACATAATTACAAAAGTTTTATAAATCTGCGTTAAAAAATAGTTGAAAAATTATAAAATGTTTTAATACTTACACTCGATGGACAAAAGTTTGAATCCAAAACTTTTACAACATTTATTTCAGAAATTCACTAAACAAAATCTAATAAAATTTATATTATTCGAAACTCTATCTCTCCTGTATATTTTTCATTATTATTATTTTGTAAAAATTTAAAGCAAAAATTTACGTCACACCAACCATTTTATATTACTATGGTCGAGTTTGGATCCAAATATTTTATGGCGTTTATTTCAAAAGTTTACTAACAAAATTCAATAAAATTTATATCGTTCGAAAGCTGTACTTCTCCTGTATATTTTTTGCTAATAACACGTTCCTTCTTGGGGGTGTTGTTGTTGTTGTTGTTGTTGTTGTTGTGATGAACATAGAAGAATCAAAACAATGTCGATTTTATTAAAAAATGGGGGAAAATTGCAAATTCTAACAGTAGCAATGCGCTCACAAATTACTGGCCTTCGCATGGGTGGTTATACAATACAAAACATTAGCAAACTGCTCGATTTTCCCATTGGAATGGTCAAAACTACTATAAGACGTTATGGAGATTCAGAGATGCTTATAAGTAAAAGAAGAAGCGGCCGGCCCAAATTGTTTAGTGATAGTAAACAAAAAGTCTGAAGAAAATTATTGATAAAAATAACAAAATTTCAGCTGATAAACTACAGAAGTCTAGAAGAATGTACCAGATATTAAATTTATAAAAGGTTTTCGAGTTTAGGTTTCAGTTTACCGAATAAAATGATGTGACATAAAACTTTATCTTACGTCAATTTAACTTTTTACAAAATTCAACGTCCAGCCTTACCACTACACAAGGAGGTTGCTTCAGTCCTTGGAATTGGTGAGATAACCCTTGCGCGAGTTGCTGAACGTAATAACGGTGAAAATGAAAATTCTCGGAGCGTTCAGAGCGAAGAATGCAAGGGCGTCCGAGGAAAAGCCCCGATCACGATGTTGTTGATCTCATACACAGGTTTGTTATGACTGGTCCACATCCTAATCTTCTTGCTATTAGAGACAAATTATTGCACGCATTTAACGATAAGGTTACGTCTAAGGTAGTTCTTGGGTTTTGGCAAAGATCGCTTGATAGGGCCAAAGAATATGAAATTTTCACGATGATACATTATTGGTCGAAAGTGACAGTGTAGATCAAGAGATTGATGACTAGTAAAACTTTTTGTCCGTGTATATGTTTTAACAAATTTCTACTGATACATTTCTCAAACCCAATTGCAAGTCAATTTATTTAGGTATGTGAATGAATTTCAAAAAAATTTATTATGTATTACAAGACATGTGCAATAAATATTTTATAACGTAAACCAATATTTTATTTTAAATAGCTATTTCACAGTAGCAAGTTAGACATATAAACAACTGGAGTTCTACACTTTACCCGCATAGGATTTGGTCGAAGGCTCCCTAATACCTATGGGATTGAATAAATACGATGAAAACGACTAATAACTTACGATTGGAGATATTCAACTGGCGTTCACTATGTCTTCTCTAATGACGGATATTCAGTCTGGTAATCTCTAGCTTTCGGCATATGCTTGAACTTGTTCGATGAGAGCGTGCGAGCGATTAACGACGAAATCACAGCAACGTTCCTATACTACAGTTATACCTAATAATAACGAATATAACACCGCTCGTACAAAACTATAGCTGTTTTACAAAACCGCTCGATTCCTTGTTGTTATTGTTATATGAATACACTTAAAATGCTCCTGTCCATAATGCAAGAATAGTAAAAAAATGGAAAGATGAAAACAATGTAATATGTCTTCCTTGGCCCGAATGTCTTTGGGATGAGTTTGAAGGAAGAGTTCAGTCCTGTAAGCATTTACCACAAAATAAAAACAAAGAGGACGTATGGCAGATACTCCAGAAAGAATGGTATACATTGATGCCAAAATCTTGTTGGATAGTATGCTTGCAGTGACCCCCCAAATTTCTCCGACGATTCTGCAATTTAATTGGTTTGTTTGAAAAAGTTAATTGGTCCCCTGTAAAAAGTATTGGTAAACGCGAATAATCATTCGTTTTTCGTTGCTGGTTAAAGAACTTCGCTCTCTATCTAGGTCTTCCATGAGAAAGATAAATATCTGAAGTGCGACATTTCCCTTACATTTTATTTGATTTGTATGCTCACATGATTCGACGAATTTTAGGTGACGAATTTCGTGTATCAACTTTTTTGCGCCGGGCATTTTTTGGAGGACGTTCGCGTTCCATCATTGTTTTGCACATACGATTTGACGCTAAAGGTGCGCCTTCAACAAAATGGAAGTCATTTTTGGAGGGAAGCTGTACGCAAATTGTTGTTACTTTTCAAGTCCGTCATGTAGAAGTAAAATAAAGAATTTATTATTTAGTATGGGATAAGCTATCCAATTTATCATTCAATATCCAACAATCAAACCTACATGGGATATGGGCTGCTTATATATCTTCAGACGCTGTCGTGGCAAAAATTGAGCTAGATTTTCGATTGGCTAATTCTGCGTCACAACAAATTGTTTAATCGTGAAGGAAGAAACACGCTGAGGCGAGTATTTTGAATATTAAGCTTAATGATGGTAATTACTCATAAAATTTTGTTGAGTTGTTCCGGAGAATATGATTCGTCAATTTGGCAATTACCATTCTTATTTGCCATCGTCATAGTTTATCGCAAAGTTGGTACGGAAACTTTTTTCTAGTTCTCGGATCCATTAGACAACTAGTTCATCTAAACTTTCACATTGACCAACGACTGGAAATGTCTTTGTTATAAAGTAAAGTTCATCGTTATGGAATCCGTACCGTAGAAATAGTAATAAATGTGACAGATTAAAACGAAATCGGATTAAAACGAAATTTTTTCTATTTTAGTATGAAAATTATAAAATTTTTTGAGGATAATTTTTAGCCTTTTTTTGGGAATTTGGGTTAGGGATTTAGGATACCATTTGTTAGTAAAAGAGTATATGTGGGTTTCAAGGCATTAAAAGGAAACCCAAAAGACCCCAAAATTTCGTCTTAATCCGATTTCGTTTTAATCCGATGCCAATTTTATTCTTAGAAAAACTATTACTATAATAATATGAATAATATTGTTTCGTTCGAGTTATCTTTTGCCTCAGGTGACACCATAATTTTGAACTGACAAGCGTTCGCCTTGAAAATATTGCATTCGGATACTATGCCTCCGCGGAAAAATTTAGAGCCAGAAGCGACATTAAAGGCTGTTGTACTTGCTGACAGTTTTAACGAACGTTTCAGACCGCTTACTTTCGATAAGCCTAGAGTATGCTAAGCGTTTTACGGTTTTGGAGTGTGATTCAAAAGTTTTCTATTGCTGTGAGATGTTGAATCATATGTCTGTTGTTTATTCAGTGTCTATTACCATTATGTAACACACCTCTTCTTGAGTATACGCTGGAGTTTCTCGCTGTAGCAAGTGTTCAAGAAGTCGTATTATTATGTAAGAATCATCCTGAACAAATAAAGAATTACGTCAGGTACCATGTATGCATATATCGCGTTTTTATTCATGACATTCAGCGCTATCACGACAGATTTTAATGAATTATGCCCTCAGGTCATCGAAATGGAATCGACCATATTCACCGCTAAAGATAACCACGATAGTCACTCCAACTGCCTTGTCTGTTGGCGATGCGCTGAGAGAAGTAGATAATCGACATTTAATTTCATCTGATTTCATTCTTGTAAGCGGGGATGTTGTGTCGAACGTTCAATTGGATAAGGCATTAGAGCTCCACAGGTAGCTATTTTATACTTTGAAAAATAAGAACTTATCTGTGTTCTTGCTCGAACTGATTCGTGGATTGTTTTTACGCGCAAGGGCTCGAAGGGCTACAGATAAGGATTCCATAATGACGATGGTATAATAACCTTCCATTGTACATTTCCGTCAATATTTTGTAAAACGTGCTCACTATTGTAACCCTTTGGCATTCTTTTTCAAGGTCTTAAAAGAAGCGAGTCCATTTCATAGAACACGGTAAGCTGTCTGTTTTGCTATTCCACTACTCAGATAAAAGCACGAAGGATGCGGACCCCACAGGGCTTTGCGTTTACAACATTCGATTCATGTTCTCGAAATAGGGCTTTGGGTGAATCATCTATTTTTGTGATTGATGAGAAAACAGATGAATGTCTTTATTACGATTCGTTGAAGCTGTTTCCGAGGAGAAGACGTATGGTTATGAGCATGGACGTGTTCGATAAACACAGTAACGTTCAGATTAGAAACGATCTGATTGACTGTCAGATTGATATCTGCTCTGTAGAGGTATGGCATCTCGAGATAAACTAAATACTGGGATGGATGCGAAGTCAATCTATTTGATGGAATTCTTTGTCAGTGCCCTAGTTCAACTGAAGTTTTATCTTACAGGTTCCCGCGCTATTCAGTGATAACTATGACTGGCAAGAAATAAGACAAGACTTTGTCTACGGCATTTTAACTACTGAATTTCCCAAAAAGACGATATACTCTCACATTGTAAAGGACTCTTATGCAGCACGCGTACGAAGTTTACAAACATATAATGCCATCAGCAAAGATATGTTGTCGAGATGGACTTATCCAATAGTTCCAGACAGCAATCTGCAGGAAGGCGATAGTTACAAGTATTTACGTGGACATATTTACAAAGAACAAGATGTCATATTGTCGAGATCGTGTGTCCTGGGGGAGAATGTTCAAATTGGAAGTGGCAGCGAGATTGGCGAGAATGTCAAGATCAATAATTCGGTTATCGGACGTCGTGTTCAAATAGGTAGGTCAAAGTAGCCGCGTATACGTTTATTAATTAGCTTTCTAGTAATATCAATAACTTAACAATACATAGGAGTCAATGTAACGATTGAAGGATCGCACATATGGGACGATGTGAAAATAAGTGCCGGCTGTACAATATCGCATTCCATTCTTGCAGCCGGAGTACAGCTGGAAGAAAATGTTACGGTTCAAAAGGATTGTCTGCTATCGTACTATGTAAGCATTCCTTTATTTACCCGTCAATGCCTAATTTAACATGATGTTAACGCGGTCGCTAAAATAGGTTGTAGTAGGCCCTGATGTTAATTTGCCCCCTCACACAAAACTTACGAGACATACTGAATCTTTGTCTGCTCAAGATAAAGGACTTTTAGATCATGGTAAGATTGGCAATAGTCTAAAGCTTTTAATATTATACATCATTAACTATAAATTTGCAACAGATAACGATCAAACTTTAATAGGTGTTAATGGAAAGGGAAGTTTATGGAAAGACATGGAATCATTTGCAGACGATCAAGACTTCCGAAACGCCCAGATCGCCTCACTTGGTATGGATAGCAACTTGAAATTTCATATATCGTTAACTACCATTTAAGAGTTATTTTATGCCGTCTGTTATGGACAATCACGATGGACTTCTTAGCTTATGACCTATCAACGGTTACACTTACTGATTCCGGATCAGAAGCTTCCGTAATAAGCGTATCGTCCATTTCAGATGACGACGATTATGAAGATACGAATGGCAATGAGAACTTCTCCCGAGAGGTCGAGCAAACACTCGATCGTGCTTTTAATGAAAATCACAGCGTTGAAATAGCTGCATTAGAATTGAATACCCTTCGCATGGCAACGAACACTACTTTTCATGATCTACGTACTGTGGTCATTCCAAGCATTTTGGACTTGGTCAAGATTGAAAAGTTAAATGAAAGTGTGAAAGAGGTTTGTTGAAATGGAAAGAATAGTACGGAAGGATGTATGATGAAATGATAATAGTGCACATATATTTCAGGTGTTGAATAAATGGGGACTATTAATTGGCAAACTTATTTTGTCCGAAACGGACCAGGTCGACACATTAAACATATTACAGGTACAATTAGTTTGTTGCTTTTGAAGAAATCTTTGTAATAATCATATTAATATGACTGATTATTAGGGACACTGTGCAAAAAAAGATTCTGCCTCAAAACTTCTTTTTTGGACTATTCGTTTGTTATATGAGCAAGATATAATTGAGGAAGATGCCATTATGGAGTGGTATCATTCCGAGAATGCAAGAGGCATCGGAAGACCTGACATATATGGCCAGTTAAGAGATTCGGTAATATAAATATGAATTGACGTATGACTGCCGTTCGAGCTATTTACGAATATTTGTTGGGTTCCATTTTATAAATAGCTTACGCCATTCGTTAGATGGTTGCAAGAAGCAGAGGAAGAGACGGAGGATGAAGCTAGTGGTAATGAGACATAGGGTAATACTACTTTTACGACTAATTTAACCTAAGGACATTCAATCAGTTGTCGTTGCATGTGAGTAATATGCACTTATCTGCTGCAGTTGGTTGTTCGGTTAATTTTATTGGGTACTTTCCGTATAGCTAATTTAATTTTCGCGCCAACCACATAATTGATGCTATTCAACTTATTCTAGAATGTACTTTGCCTTCAAGTCTACAATTGTGTAATATTTGCCAATAAAGGTTCTGTACAAACTAGTCTTCAATGCATTGTTCTTTTGCAAAAATCTCCGTTTCATGAGAATATTTTGACGCTGGGGAAACAGAAAAGAACAACAACGGCCTGAAATAACCTCACGTGCCAACTGGTCTGAAATCAAATGTCTTCCTTGAATGCAATTCCCAGTAGATACTTAATCGCCTGTAATCGCTGGTGTAACCACTCACCAAGCTTTCTTTTCTTGACTTCTGCCAAGTAGAGCGACTACGTTATACTAAGTAAACACGTTTGTTGTTTCGAAGAGACCCAGTAATCACAGTTATAGAAGTTTTCACCTGTTTTCGCAAAAAAGTTGTGCAAAATTTTGTGTGACTGCAGAATTTTGAAAACTCGGGTTTGTTATCATACTAATACAGGGTTAATATAGAATTATCTCTATATTATATATAATAAAAATATTGGGCTTTGATTCAGTGTTTCGACTATCGCTCAGAGGACAATTTCGAAGTATTGCCCTGTTTATTAAAGGAAAGTTCCCCTTCGATTCTATAGAATAGTATAGTTATTATTCGTAGATTCCCTTACTTGGATACGAACGTTGGATTACGTTACGTATATGGATTAGGAAGCGCGCATAATTAATTAATGAGAAACGTCACTGTAGCTTAGCATTCAGTCTTAGTTGACACTGTCGGGGCAGCGGTAGCTGAGCTAATTGAGTCAGATCCCCCTGTCGGCCGAACCGCCTACAGTTCGCTCTCCCACAAATCTCCCTAATTAAATACGCCGACCGTAACATGATGGGTTAGGGTTGGTTAGAGGAATACATTATCCATTGTTACAATAGGTTTTGTTAGTATTTTATGAAAGATAGTAGATTGTATCATCATCACTGCCATTTTTCCTATCACTAGATGCTCTACTCATACCTTCGCCACGTATCAGATCTATCTCCCAGTTGCGGAATGCCGGATCAATGAGAGGACTCCATATGTTGTGTTGGTACCATCCTTCCAACCTTGATGATGGGTTCAGTGTGAAGTTATTATTTTTTTTCCCAAAGAGTATGTATAGCACGATATGTATGATTAATATAATTCAAGTCAAAATGTTCTTAGTATTAGGCAGGAAGGGTTCAAAAATGATTTTGCGAAATTAGTTACTGAATACTTTTTCAGTAGTTCAGTAATTGGTTTAGCGATTTTTGGCACATGCTTCAAGTTGGTAGAAAGTATTTCTTTCCATTCGTCATTTCTAAATAAAGCCCGTGTTTTCTTATCGACATCGTTAATAATAAAAGAATGCAGACAAGATTCATGTCTTAAGGTGCGCGCATATTCATAAATGACTTTCTCTACAATACGACCAGGTGATTCCAGTGTCCACATTTGTGTCGGGTCTAGACTCTGATAGAACTGGCAAATCCATTGACTTCTTGTTCATCACCGTTTTCGTTGTCACCCTGTCGTTTCTGTTTCCATTATCTTCTTCGCTTTCATAATTATTAATGGCTTTTGGTCTCTTTGTTTGAGGAGTTTTCAATTTCATCTAGATTGCAAGGAAGGTAATGCGCAGAATGCTTTAGTAGGTTATTTTATTCCCGAACAATTGGTTCAATAGTAACCTCACTTTTTTCGTCTTCTTCGGCAGGGCTACATCTGCTTCATCTGCTGTCTCTTCTCGATTATCGATATTATCAATAGACACAGTATTACCAGTCGCGAGCACTTGTTGTTGAACCTAATTGAAAATGTTATACTCATGCTATTTTTCTACGAAATTTTCAGTTAGAATCGTACCTGATGAAACTCGAACTTGAAACCTGTATCATCGCCCATCATAGTCCAATCCTTGATACATAAGAATGTAGAATTAGCGGTACTCGCAAGAAAACATTATACAAAAAACATAAATACAAGCAAAGAAAGCGTCGAACTAAAAGTTCATCACTGTAGACTAAGAGTCACAGCTTTCCCTAACTTGTAAATCTCTATCTTATTAAGAAAAACCCATACTTTCCAGTTGTCAATGATACTTTGGGCCTTTCTCTTACGCGTCGGGAGTTCGCCACATTTTTGAGATCTTTGTTTATGCTATCCAGCACCTTTTCCGATCTTGCTGTCCTGATGTAGCACGATAAAACTCTACAAGGTTTTTGCAAGTCCAGTCCTCAACTGCTCTATTTTGTAAAAATCCATCACGAGTCTATAAAATACCATCGATCACGACATTGTGTGTGTCATCTGCAAACTTCCAAAGATACAGCATGAGCGGAATAAGGCATTGGGTCAATAATACGGGGAATCATCCGGCAATTTTTATTTCTTTTACTCCTAAAATTTTTCACAATTCATTTTGACAGAGTTAAAATCCATTAATATTGAAGCGCGTTCGACGATAATCCTCTTTTCTTCTTCGTTCGGATTCTTTTTTACCCAATTCAGAAACACGCGATACCAATTAACCACTCATCCTTGGCACGCCCATCTGTAAGACTAGGCAGCTACCTAGGAGTGAGCCGAAGAAAACTGAATATTAGTAATCAGAATTTATGAGGCGATTTAGCACACAGCAACCGCTACAGCCGCCACAAAAGCAAATGTGGCGCGCGACGCGGGCAAAGATACTGCGAACATGTTGCAGTAATGGCAATGGTGGTGGCGATAAAAAGAATTGTGTACAGTCAACTCTGGCTATACCGGCTTTGCATATACCAGTTTTGCCTCTATACCAGTCCGATTTGGCTGCACCAAAAAATTTTATATTAATTTTACCCCTTATAACGGCTGAATCTTAATAACTCCGTTTATACCGGCTCCGGCACAAGTTATGCGAAACCATATAGACCAGTCTTTATATTATATAAAAGTTTTACTTTATACCGGCAAAGTCAAGTAACTACCTGGTACATGTTAATATTAGTAAATGTAACCATAACTCAACCAATTCTCTTAATTATTAGCATGCGATGTAAGAGAACTCCAAAATTCTAATACAGACATGGCGACGTCTCGTCGTATGAAATCATTGAGAAAGAATATTATATAGTCTTATTGTTTATGAAAACGATGAAATATGCGATCAAGAGAAATTAATTGGTTCTTCAAGGCTATCAGATAGTCCTAATGAGAAAGTAGATATACTGAAGAGCATTTTACACGGAGAACACATTCTGTCATTCAGACAACTCCAATGTTTTAGAACAAAGTCGTAATGGCAACGTAGAGATAATCTATTACTCATACGACGATTACTGCGTGATATATAAAAAGAAAGATAAAATCTTATGAAACGAAGATTCGCGATTGCACCATTTTCCTACGCTCTATATACCGGTCTCTCGTTATAATAACGGCCAAAAATTGCCAAACCACTCGCGCCGGTATAGCCCGAGTTGACTGTACACTCCCCTGACAAAAGTCACGAGACTGCTCTAAATACTAGTAAAACATATGAAAACTCCTTTTTTTCGAAAATCTCTCTTGTCTGCAAACACTATGTAAGTGATAATAGTTTTGAAAATATAAATACCGTAAACTCTCATGAATAAGGGCCCCCCTTCATCATATTAAGGAACTACCCCAGCAGCCTCAGCAAAATTTTCTCAATTAACCAATGAGCGGTTTGAAAATTTTGTGTAATGTGCAGATC